GCACTGCCGGAGGGTCAGTGCTGAGGGAGCGCCGCACTGCCGGAGGGGGTCGGCACTGAGGGAGCGCCGCACTGCCGGAGGGGGTCGGCACTGAGGGAGCGCTGTCATTTAATGAATAATAGCTGTTCTGTGACTAGCTATATTCCCCACTTTTGTCCCTCTAATATCATGGCCTGACAAAATGCAACTAACATCAAATTTAAAATTAATAAGTGATCAAATGTTAGTTGACATTTGCTGATGACAATTGCAATTTCTGTACACTTTGTTTAATATGTTTCCTAACTTTCTCCTGAAAAGTCTGGATTAAATTTTTACTCACAAAAGATCTTAGACTTTGCAACAGTTTGTCACCGCCTACCCTGAAAAGTACTGGACATATCTTGAAATTTCAATTAACGCCTTATTGTTGTAAACACCAGGGGACATGATTTGTATAGTCTCTCCTTGTCATTTAACTTTTGGCATACAGAGATCATTTAGTCAATTTTCATTGGTCTCCCTCCAAGGTTAAAATACATTCATCTGGTGTGTGGTCTTGATTTGATCACAAGACACCAAATGGTCTAACTTTCTGTGGCCCAACTGCATCATCTACAAACTTTTATTCTCATCTTGGAAAACAGATTTCAGTATTTAGTTGCAGCGTTCATGTAGAGAAAGCAGAGTTATCCAGGGATACTTCTTCAGAGAAAGGGTCACTTCAGAAATTCAGAAGGGTCAGTGCACTCAAGTGCACTTTGGGGTGACATGGTGCCTCAGTGGTTAGCACTGCTACCTCACAGTGCGAGGGACCTGGGTTCAATTCTAGCCTCGGGCGACTGTGTGGAGTTTACACATTCTCCCCATGTCTGCGTGGTTTCTTTCAGGCGCTCTGGTTTCTTCCTACAGTCCAAGGGTGTGTAGGTTAGGTGGACTGGCTATACTAAATTGCTGTATCTAGGGTGGGAAATGTAGGGGTTGGGTCTGGGTGGGATGAGCTTCAGAGGGTCAGTGTGGGCTGAATGGCCTACTTCCACACTAGGGATTCAATAACATTGTTAACTCTGCTCCTTACTTCACAGATGCTGAGACCTGCTGAGTTTCTCAGCAATTTATGTTTTTCTATCAGATTTCCAGCATCTGCCACTTTTTTGTTTTATTTATTCAAATATTCAATTTGCTTTTTTGATTTTTTTGTAGCTGCTCATGGCATTTTAACAATTATATTCCCCAATCCTTGCATCTATACAGATTTTTTACAATTTTTTAAACCTTTTGGCATATTTACATTCCATATCATTTTACCCATTTTAGGTCTAAAGTGGATGATTTCAGCCTACCCTACAATCCACTTGCCATTGCTTAGCCCGTGCATTATTCCTGCAAGTCTGTGTGATTTTTATTTTTCAGATATGACCAACACCGTTTACATCAGTGTCCTCGTGGTTATCCTGGCAACAGGCTCCTTGTCAAAACCATTGTCTGACCCTCACAATAATGGAGGAATTATCCTGGAGCGTACTGGCAAGTACTTGTCAGGCAACGGGGCAGTTTCACTGGACCGCAGAGCTGCAGCTTTAAAAGCAGATGATCTGATATCCAAACTGCTACCCCAGATCCAGGAAGGTACGTTCTTCCAGTGCACACTCCTCCACCCTGCTCTCACTCTATTACCATCTTGCAGTTATATAGCACTTTTAATACAGTAAAGTGTCCTACAGGCACCACAAGAGGCGAAAAGAAACTAGATGGATGTTGAGTTTAAAAGGAAAATTAAATGAAGTAACTGAGTATGTAATCCTGGGGGGGAGCTTCTCCTGGTGTCACACTGAGGGAGTGGTGCAATGCCAGAGATCACAAGGCCACTATTTTGCGGAGAGACAGGGGATAATCCCTGGTGTTCTGTCCAACATCTGCGGAATTAGATGATTGGGTTATTGTTATAGGGGATTGACAGGAATGTTACCAGCATTTGTAGCTATAAGGAAAGATGGGGTTGTTTACCTCACAACAGAGCAGGTTGAACAGTGATAATAATCAAGGTGTACAGAACAATGAGGGTCTTAAATGAGGGAAGACCAATTTCTTCCACTGAAGGAGTCAATTGCCGAAGTGTGTGTGTGTGTCTACATGTAATTGGTAGAAAGATTAGAGAGGACATTAGAAAAACCTCGTTTACCAGGGATGGTGGGTGCCTGGAATTCCATGCCCAGTTTCGTGGTTGAGATTAAAATGGTTAATTTATTTAACAGGAGCTGAATCTGCACATAAAGTGCTGGAACCTGCAAGGCTACAGACCAGGGAACTGCTAAATGGGATTACAATAGGCAGCTAGTTAATTTAGCTGGTGCAGACATAGTGGGCTGAATGGCCTCTTCCTGTGTTGTAACTGTTCAATGGTGCTAATATCATGTTGCCTGTTTGTGGAATCTCGCTGTGTGTTAGTTCCAGTTGTAATTTCCAAATATAACAGTGACCATCCTCATTGGTTATTTATTGCTTTGAAATGACCTGAAGCTGTGAAAGAATCTATAGAAAACCAACTCATTATTTTAAGGTGACGTCCTCTTAAACGAGGAGAAGGAGGTGGAGAGTTTTTAATGGAGGGAATTTTAGTAGGTGTGGACTATGAGGCTGAGTGGTCATCAATGGAGGGAAGAATGAATGGGATAATGACTGAGGATCTGGGGGCAATTTTACAGTTTGGAAGCTGTGAGGCTTTGAAGGATACACAGAGTGGGAGGTGGGATCTAATGGTCAGCAGAGGAGAACGGAGATCTGGACACGAGTTGATCATGCACAGCAGAGTTTGAGACTCTTTTTTTTCTGGAAGGATGGAAGGCTAATTAAGAGTAGAATAATCAGGAGCCTGTGCAGGTGCGATGGGTCAAATGCCCCTCTCTGTGCTGTAACAATTCTGAATAATTGAGTCTTGGTGTTGATAACTTTCAAAATTACAACAGCAGTTGGAAAGTGGACACTGGTGGAGTTGGTGCTACCAAGGATACTGGTTCAGAGTAGCTCAGGATCAATGCAACGCAAAGATTTTAATCATCTTCCTTCAATTCTCTGTGACACCGAGCAGCGCCTGTTGGTTGGGTACCTGACTATTTGACTGTGCAGAGCATCACATTCAATCTGATCTTGTCCATAGGCAAGATCCAAACAACAACCTTCAGCAAACAGTGTCCAAAGGAAGCATTCCTTGCTGCTTTAGAGGGGGTCACTTCCTTTCTCTCTTGTCTGTCTTCAGTTCAAAAGCTTTGAAGCAACTATAAAAATGCATGATGACAACCTGCTTTTAAAAACCTCATGTCTGAACTCGCCTAGACGATCCTGATCCTGATCCAGTGACCCAGAGAAATCTGAACCCATCCTCCTGTCCTCTCCATGATCATGATCAAGTGACTGGGTACCAAACACAATCGACTAAGGGGTACCACATGGCAACTTGGGTTAGGTACCAGAAGGTAGAATGGACTTGCACCCCAGTGAGAGTCTGTGTACGTACGTGTGTGTGTGTGTGAGCCCCATAGCCCAGGGAGAGTCAGTGTGTGTTTGGGACCCGTTGCTCAGTGAGAGTCAGTGTGTGTGGGACTGTACCCCAGTGAGAGCCAATATCTTCAGAAGAGGGGAGCTAATAAAAAGGTAAAATGCCAAGTCTAACAATCATTTTTGTTTCAAATAGCTGGATTATTGAACCAGGCTGACCGATATCAGCTCCGAGATGTGCTGCACCAAATGCATGACCGAGATTACGCAGGCTGGATGGACTTTGGGAAACGCAGCATCGAGGAGTATGAGATGGATTCCTAAAACACATATCATCGGGGTCATCACTCAGTGAAAAATATTCATGTGTAATGCTAGGAAACCATTTACCCAGTGTATCAACAAACCAAGCTCAGAATATCAGCCACTGTTTCAGATATAAACCCATTCTCAAGATATTGCAGAAAAAACATTTTTTGACCCATTTAAGAATCATTGGAAAATTTATTGCTGTTGATTTTACTGGAAGAATTTGATATTTTTGGTTGTTTTAATAAATGGTTTAAGTGTTGTGTACCAAACTTTGCATTCAGCGTTACTGATTGCTACAGAATGCGTTGTTGAAGCTTGATGCTTGCAGGCTACAGGACTCTTAAAGATGAACAAAGTCTTTAACAGTAAATCCAAACCAGGCACCAGAAATGATTCTTTGTGAAATAGTGACTGATGGATTAAATACTTGTGTATGTGAGTGTGTGGGTATATACAGGGAGGTGTTGTGCCTGTGTCTGCTTGAAAATGCAAGTGTTGGGTACATGTGTGGGCATCATTTTAATTCTCATCTAAACTCCTGGAGGGTTTGGAACATCAAAATATAAGTTCAAACAATTCTACAAAAATATTCATAAAATGGCCCAAATACGGCTTACCTCAGTGCAGTTAATCCAGTGATTAAAGAATCCATCATTTTCACCTGGGATGAAGTTGCAGTCGGAACACTGCATCCTAATGGATAGTCCTCGCCTGTTGGCTGAATGTTGAATGTATCTGCACTTATTCTAAGCTATGAGGGCTGTGTGAACAGTTGTGGCCTGCCTGTCGGATAAACTGGTCTGGGGGTAAGGGTGGATGCTGGTTCTTTAATTATGCTTAAGCAACCCAAGCCCTTTGGCTGGTCTGGTGGGCAAGGCTATGGATTATAACTCAGGTGTATGTGCAGGTTTGATGTCAGGGCTCTTGTGGCACAGTGGTAGTGTCTCTACATCTGAGCTAGGAGGCCCAGGTTCAAGCCTCCTTTGCTCCAGAGCTGTGTAATATGTCTGAACACGTTGATTAGAAACATTTGTAGGTTCCATGCCTGTGTCCACTGTAACATCCTATAACTGCAAAATACTGCAGTTGCTGGAAATCTGAATTTAAAAAAAGTGCTGGAGAACCAGCAGAGCAGGCAGCATCTGTGCAGAGGGAAAGAAAGTTAACGCTTTGGGTCCAATGACTCTTCTTTGGACTATAAGAAACGTTAACTTTGTTGATCCTTCCACAGATGTTACCAGGCCTGTCGAGATTCTCCAGCACTTTCCGTTTGTGTGTTACTGGAAATCCTCCAGTTAATGGGAAGGCAAAAAGAAGCAACAGGGAATGGAGGAAAGTTTAGACCAAACTCTAACCCAGGAGATTACCAGATGGTTCAGGATCTATGACAAGCTTGGGACTGACAACCCCTGGGAGATGGTTCTTGAACTTTTTACAACATCTATCTATATTTATATACTGCCTTTAATGTCAAGTTCATGGAGCTTCAGAAGAGAATTATAAAACAAAGAGCACCGAGCCACTCAGGTGCCAAACATTTGGTCAAGATGCATTTTAAAGTGGGTCTTAAATGAGGAAATTGAGCTTGAGAGGCTCATACATTGAGGGAGGGACTTCCAGAGTTTGGTTCCCAGGCAGCTGAAAGCACAGCCAGGGAGAGTGGATTGATTCTACTGAGGAATGAACAAGAGGCCAGAATTAGAGAAGATGAGATATCTCTGAGGATTGTGGGGCTGGTTGAGATTACAGAGTTGGGCAGCTCTACACAGTCGAGAGGTTTGGGAACATGGATGAGAACTTGAAAGTCTGCAGCCAGTAGTGGTCAGCGAGTGGAGCGAAGGTGATAGCGGAGCAGGGCTTGTTCTGACTTACAACATGAGCAGCTGAATTTTGGATTCCTTCAGTTTTGGAGGGTAATGGTGTGTTGGAATAATTGAGTCTGGAGGTTATAAAGGCATCGGTGAAGGTTTCAGCAGTGGAACAGCCGAGGCGGGGGTGAGGTCTGGCGATGTTTTGGAAGTGGAACCAGATCATTACAGTGATGGCACAAAAATGATTACAAAAACTAAACAGCTGATAGACACCTCATCAGGTTCCACTTCAAATGACAGTTTCTAAAGATCTCACGTCTCAAGCAAATTGTGATTCTTACTGATAGCGATAGGGACCAAGAGCAGTACAAACCCAGTCGCTGATACATTCAAGCTCTGTTGACATAGGATGCTCTCCACATTTCCCACATATCACACAAAGAGATGTTTATGTAAAATGAACCCCTGGGGAATTGGGGGATTGAGATAGCAGAATGTTTGTAAGGAGTGGAGTTTGGTGAGACCTTTGAAAGTTGACAGAAAGTTGGGATGACAGAGATGGAGCAGTTAAAAACAATTTAGAGATAACACAGTGTGAAGCTGGAGGAACACAGCAGGCCAGGCAGCATCAGAGGAGCAGGAAAGACAATTTACACCAGTTACTCAAACTCATTTATCTTTGATATCTGCTTCTTTATTACTACTCTTAATTTTTAAAAAATTACAAATCTTTACAGGCTTAAACGTTATCTTTGACTTTTCCACCTGATGCAGAGGACCTACTGTCTATACATTTGCTGCATTGCTGCTATGCAGTATAGCTGGCAAACTCCAGCTCCAAAGGAACATCTCATTAACTTAACAAAGGAGCAGCATAACAGCTACAAAACTCCAACTGGGTCAGATTTATGTGCAGTCTTACTTCCTAAAATACAATATACCTTTGCACTAAAACTGCAAATAAACATGCAGGATGCATGAAACACAGAATGTTCCAGGACTGAGTTCAGTCTTGACGTTGCATTCCTGTTATGGGGACGGGAGAGAGAAGAAGGATTGGAGACAGAATCTTAAGAACAAGTCAGTGGTTAAGGACCAGGGCTACCCACAGGGAAGAAATTGAGAACAAAATCCGAAGTATGTCAGTACTAAAGGCAGTTGATAAATGGGAAGAAGGTGGCAGGTGAGGGCAATTACGTTTCAGAATAATCTGCACTTGCCTGAATTCGTTCAGAAAGGGGCTCTGTGCTGTTTCATGCAGATGTTCAGTTATGGAGGCTCAAAAGAATGCAGATTCCAGAATGATCCAAACTGGAATCAGGTTAGGGCTCTGGAACATTAACATATGAAAACCCAGTGAATGTTCCAACATTCTGACATTCAATGCTTTCGCATTAAAGTTTACTATACTGCTGAAGCGATATTGCTTCTCTGAAATGGTTCATGATTCGACAATGATTTAAGTTCAAGATGATGTCAGAAAGCACCTTTTCACACAAACCGTGGATTGGAAAATCTGGAATTCTCTCCCAAAAAGTAACGGAGGCTGGGTGTTAATTGAACATTTGAAAACAAAATTTGAAGGATTTTGCCCAAAGTGGGTTCAGGATTATATAACGAAGCCCCCTTTACAACTGGGTCGTGAAAACTCCCCAAACTTCACTGTGACTTTGTTAAACTATCCAGACATTCATCTTGCTTTGATATGAAGATTTTTCTAATTGTTGACAGGGGGTTGTAAACACACGTAGGAATTTTGATTTGTAAATTTCAGAAATTCCACAATACCCCTTCAATTTTACTTTGTTGTAACACCGATTTGCAGAGGGCAAATATTCAACAAAAATTGAAGGAATTCTTCAAAAATCAAAAATTGCTGATTTTAAGGAAAATAATAAAACGATCAGAATTGCCTTGAAAGTGCAGAAAGTTACAGTCAAGAATAACATTTGTTATTGTTTATAGGTCATTGTTTATAGTCCTGGTGCAAGTACCAAATTGTTCAATTCAAGTCACTAATCTAGCAGCAAGTTACTTAGCCAGTTATGTTTTGCCTGTACTGATCCTTCAAGGGAACAACACAGCAAGTTTCACCTGAACAACTCAAAGTTTTACAGGCTGTTGACAGATTCAGAAATTACAAGTGCGTATTATTCCAAAGCATGGGCATTCTCCCCCTCCAGAGAATTATCAACTTTCCCACAAGCAAGAAAAATCAAGAACTGGTCAGAAGATGTTCCACAGAGATTGGATTTCAAGTAAGGACCGTGGTTATCACGGTTACTGATGGGAGTGTACAGCACTTCACTTGGGGTCAAACACTGACAGAGAAGCTGCAGGCAATGGCTCAAGACATCAAATGAAGTTAAAGTGCGACCTCCAGCATGCTCAAGGCAGGCTGAACTCTGTGATTACATCACTATACTGAGGAATAAAATCCACTGAATTTATATCCTGTGGAGATACCACAAAGGATAGTAGTGAGTAAAATAGAGCAGATTTGTCCAGGAAGCCTGTTATTGATCAGACTGGGACTGGAGACACCTACACACTAAATGTTAAAGCACCAAAAAGATTACTTTGTAAAAAACCCCTCCCTCAATAACACAAACCAACCAACTGCATCACCCACCTCCAGCAGAAAACTCACACCGAATCACTTCGCATTATCCTTCTCTTTTCAAACGTGCCATTATTGATTATTATTGAACATTTAACAGATAATTTACTTGTGAATCAACCAAAACAGTTTGCTTAATGCACAATAAACTGAAAGAAGATGGAATAGGCCTTGAACTGATTGATGGGAAGTATTGCAGAGCGTTATGACCAGATTCAGTTTTTAAAACACAGGGCAGGTAGGGAAAGGGAAGAGGGAGGTTTGTGAGGGGTCATGGGGCAGAGGGGAGGGGTCATGGGGGGAAAGGGAGCCATGCACACCGATCATTAAAAATAGACTCCCACTGTCATCACATTGACGAAGGGGAAGCTTTGCCATTTCCATTTGTCATGTGCTGAACCTTCGTGTAAGTCGTGTTAACCTTTTGCTCTCAGGGTTGACCATCCCTCTGGCCACTACTTTGTCTAAACCAAGTCGCTTCAGTTTCTCCACCAAGTTCAAGCTGAAGATGTTCCTTTGGTTCCTGGTGTCTCTCGGGCTCCTTCCACCCTCTGAACTGCTCATCCTCTTGAGCATCGACCTGGCCAAACTCGAGGTGAGGAAGGGTTTTTGAGGTGGGCTGGTATAGCTCAGTTCAAATGGGGGCTTCGAGAGGTAGAGCAACGGTGCTCCTGAAGTTGGGATGCTGATCATGGTTCCATCAGACTGTTGCTGAACAGTGGTAGTGTCCTCTGCAACACCATCTTCAACATTACAGATCAGGTCATACATGGCTGCAGATATCCCATGTTCCTTTAATAATGTCACTAAACCGAGTGAGGTGCTCATTGTGGTTGTATGCTCTCTCAGGTTAGTGGCGGACTCAGATACATAACGTTTTCGCTGTGGACTGCAACGAGCTGCTCTCAGCGCCTCGAAATCCGTGCTTGACACACTGGTCCCTAACGTAATAGAGTTTCTACTGGTTGGGGTAGGTCTAAACGTACTGAAATTCCCAGAGGATGAGGTTTTCCAAAAATTGTCGAAGTTCCCACACGAAGATATAGGCCTCAGTCTGTCCAAGCTCCCATCAGACGAGATGGGCCTCAACTTGCCAAAGCTGCCACAAGAGGGGCTAGGGGTGTGATGTAAACTGGAAGAGAATAGAAGGGGAACACTCAATAATCTATTTGACAATGACATCAAATAATGCAGCAATGGGACAACATGCCACTCTTCTACAGGCAGCCTAGCAAAGACAAGTGTGTCAGCACATGGAGTGTGCCCCATGTTAAATGATTTGTTTCCCATATGGGTCAAATATAAACCAGAATATTTGGGGTATGAGTGTCATTGTTCATTTAACATTGAACACGAGGCGACCAAGTTTGGGAATATGGTCGGCATGGACTAGTTGGACCAAAGGGTCTGTTTCCATGCTGTATGCCTCTATAAGCTGAACAGTATCAGTATTTTAATGTGAGCTCCCACCTTATACACTCCGTCTTCCATACCCCCACACCCAACCGCACACACCCCACTACCCCCCAACACTGCCCATCCAATAAATCTCAACTCATCCATGGGGGGGTTGCCTGGCGATAGGTAAATCCAAAGGTTTACATCAATTTTAGCCCTGATCATTCCTCCAATTGAATCCCTCGAGTAGATCAATTATTTAAAATCACAGTTTCAAATCCACATTGCATTTTCCTCAGAAAGGGTTCCAGTGGGTGAAGTATAACAGAAGAATTGATGAACATTGGTGAAATTCAACTATGAAACCACATGCAGAATTTAGCTGCAGAGAATGACAGGCCTTATCAAAAACATTAATATCATAAATTGAAGGCTGAGAATATCAAACATTACAAAATAATCATGGATTAAGTGGAATGAACTTTACAAAAAAAAAGTGCATGCCCTGTTGGAGGCCATTCAGCCCACCTGGTTTATGATGGTCTTTGTATGCACCTCATCAGTGTCTTCCAGGCCTTTCTTTATCTGACCACCATATCCTTCCATCTCTGTCTCCCTCATTATCGATCCTGCTTCCCATAAATACACTGCTGTTATACCTCAACTACTTCCTGTGTAGAGATAGTAGGAACTGCTGATGCTGGAGTCTGAGATAACAAGGTGTGGAGCTGGATGAACACAGCAGGCCAGGCAGCATCAGAGGAGCAGGAAGGCTGACGTTTCAGGTCAGGACCCTTCTTCAGAAATGGGGGAGGGGAAGGGAGCTCTGAAATAAATAGAGAGAGGGGGAGGTGATGATGGAAGGTGGATAGAGGAGCAGATAGGTAGAGAGAAGACTGACAGGTTAAGGAGGCGGGGATGGAGCCAGTAAAGGTGAGTGTAGGTAGGGAGTTGGGATGGGGGTTGGTCAGTGGGGAGGGAGGGGCGGGTAGGTGGGAGGGAAGACGGACAAGTCAGGTAGGCGGGGATGAGGCTAGTAGGTAGGAAGTGGGGGTTGGTTGGTGAGGTGGGAGGAGCAGATAGGTGGGAGAAAAGACGGACAGGTCAAGGAGGCGGGGACGAGAGGGGCTGGTCTTGGAATGCAGTAGGGGGAGGGGAGATTTTGAAGCTTGTGAAGTCCACATTGATACCATTGGGCTGCAGGGTTCCCTAGCAGAATATGCTCGGTTCATGACAAACAACACCTCCCAGTCGCGAACCACTTCAACTCCCCCTCCCACTCCTTGGACGACATGTCCGTCCTGGGCCTCCTCCAGTGCCACAACGATGCCACCCGAAGGTTGCAGGAACAGCACCTCATATTCTGCTAGGGAACCCTGCAGCCCAATGGTATCAATGTGGACTTCACAAGCTTCAAAATCTCCCCTCCCCCTACTGCATTCCAAGACCAGCCCCTCTCGTCCCCGCCTCCTTGACCTGTCCGTCTTTTCTCCCACCTATCTGCTCCTCCCACCTCACCAACCAACCCCCACTTCCTACCTACTAGCCTCATCCCCGCCTACCTGACTTGTCCGTCTTCCCTCCCACCTACCCGCCCCTCTATCCATCTTCTATAATTGTCTCCCCCTCTCTCTACTTATTTCAGAATCTCCCTCCCCTCCCCCATTTCTGAAGAAGGGTCCCGACCCGAAACGTCAGCTTTCCTGCTCCTCTGGTGCTGCCTGGCCTGCTGTGTTCATCCAGCTCCACACCTTGTTATCCTGTGTAAAGATATTTTTCCTGAATTCCCATTAGATTTATCAATAACTATTTAATGGCTATGGTTTCTAGTTTGGTATCTCCCACAAGTGGAAGCATGGTCTCCTTGTTTATTGTATCAAACCTTTCACAAGTTTAAAGATCACAAACAGGTCATTCCATATCAAAGCTGCTGATGTCCTGTTAAATTGACAGTTCATTGAGCCACACCAGAGTGGCCCACTTTGTTTTCCTGAGCAGGAAGCAGATTCCAAAATACATGGTGCATAGGCAATATGATGACACCAATGGCAACGTGTTAAATAATTGTAAGCCAATTATTTATCAATGAATAAGATAAGCTTCAGCTATCTCACCTTGAGCACAGTGAAGGCTAGCAGCACAGATCCCACACTGAAATCACACAAGGGGTGGGGGAACAGGGCAATTGGAGAAAACAGATCCTGAACATTTTTTTAAACAAAGCCGTAAAATGATCATTGCTGTATCACTCCTGCTTCAGCCTTCAATTATTCTCAGCCAATTCCTCCTTCAGAATTAATGGAAGACAAACCAGAGAAGTGACCCTTTGGAAGCTGTACATTTACAAGTTGTTGTGACAGGGCAGTTGGTAACTTAACAATTCTTTCCTTCTGCTCACACACCTTTCTAATGAGCCACTTTAAGTTGGGAAGCTCCCACCCAGTTTATACTTTCAGGAAGATGTCTTCAAACTGGCAATTAAGTGATGTTAGTCCAGTCAGATCCTACATTTTAATGGTGGCTGTACTTCAAAAGTACTTTGTTGGCTGTGAAACTCTTAGGGGTGCCCTGGAAAATGGGGGAGGTGCTATACAAATTTTTCATTTTCTTCATTTCTGTTGAAGACATTGAGAGGATCAGGAGAGATGCAGCAGCTAATATGGGCCCACACAGTTCACAAGTAGCCAATGTCAACATAGTCATAAACTTTACGCAGCACGATACAGGCCCTTCGGCCCATCATGTCCGTACCAGCCATCAAACGTCTTTCTATTCCAGCACTTGGCGCCTAGCCTTGCATGCTATGGCATTTCAAGTGGTCATCTAAACAGTTCTTAAATGTCTTGAGGGCTGCTGTCTCTTCCACCCCTTCAGTGAGTTCCAGATACTCAGCCCCTCTGGGAGAAGAAAAATCTTCTCAAATCCCCTCCAAACCTCCTGCTCCCTCCTTAAACTGTGCCCTCTGATTATCGACCACTCTACTAAGGGGAAAGGTTTCTCCCTGTCTACCCTGTCTGTACCCCTCGGAACTGTGCACAACTCAATCAGGTTCCCCTCAGCTTTCTCGACTCTCAGGAAATCAACCCCAGCCCATCGAGACTTTTTCATATCTGTATCGCTCCAGCCCAGGCAATGTCCTGGTGAATCTTCTTATCCTATCTGCAGTTCCCTCCCCATCCCCACAGTACCCCCCACAGCCCGCTTCTACCTTCTTCCCAAAACTCACAAACAGGACTGCCGGGTCCTTGCCCCCCAACCCATGTCTTCTGGTGGCAACTTGATTTTTTCTCCCCTTCCCACTTATATCTGATTCTTCTGACACTTTACCTAAATTTCAGACTTTCCAGTTTGCGGGCTCCAGATGCCTCGTCTTCACTGTAGACCTTTACATGTCCATCTCCCATCAGGGTGGTCTCAGGGCTTTCTGTTTCTTCATGGAAATATGGCCTGAACCATCCCCATCCCCCACCACTCTCCTCTGCCTGGCCGAGATCATCCTCAACCTGAACAACTTCACTTTTAACTCCTCTCATTTTCTTCAGGTCACAGGGGTGGCCATGGGTACGCACGTGGGCCCCAGTAATGCCTGTCTCTTTGTGAGATAAGTGGAACATTCCATGTTCTAGTCCTACTCCAGCCCACACCCACAACTCTTTCTCTGGTACATTAATGACAGAATCGGTGCTGCTTTCCTCTCCCTGTAGGAGGGGCAGGTGACCTATAGGGGAGGGGCAGCTGACCTATAGGAGAGGCACGTGGCCTATAGGAGGGGGCAGGTGACCTATAGGAGGGGCAGGTGACCTATAGGGGAGGGGCAGGTGACCTATAGGAGAGGCAGGTGACCTATAGGGGAGGGGCAGGTGACCTATAGGAGATGCAGGTGACCTATAGGAGATGCAGGTGACCTACAAGAGCAGATTGTCTAGGTGAGAGGCAGGCACTTGACACTGGGAATCAAACACCACAGCTCTTACTTTCAGATATTTACACTCCTTAAACTTTCAGCAAGTATTGGTACCATTGCTTTTTCTGCCTGTATGTGTGACAAAGACAAGAATCTGTTAGCAAATCCTTCGTCAATCAGGAAATATTCACACCTGGGTGTGGGGGCCATGCACCAGTTTCTCCTCAGAAAGGCAGGGGTGGTGGGGGGGGAGGAGGAAGATGTTGGAGGAGATGGTAGAAACTCAGAAACTGAGGCAGTTCATGTGCAAATGCAACGAGTTTTGAACAATATCCAGGCTTGGGCTGAAAAGTTGCAAGTAACATTCACTCCTGACAAATGCCCGGCAATAAGAGATAATCAAACCATCGCCCCTTGACATTTTGAATTAGAATTAGGTTTTATGTCCCATGTATTCAAGTCATTACCATCACTGAACCCCCCGCTAACAACATCCTGGGAATTACCATTGGCCAGAAACTCAACATAAACATAGTGGCTACAAGAGCAGGTCAGAGGCTAGCCTGACTCCCCAAAACCTGTCCACCATCTACAAGGCACAAGTCAGGAGTGTGATGGAATACTCCCCACTTCCTTGAATGGGTGCAGCTCAACAATACTCAAGAAGCTTGGCGCCATCCAGGACAAAGCAGCTGCTTGATTGGCACCACAACCACACGCATCCACTCCCTCCACCCACTGACGCTCAGTAGCAACAGTGTGCACTATCTACAAGATGCACTACAGAAATTAACCAAAGATCCTTAAACAGCACCTTCCAAACCCACAACCACTTCCATCTAGAAGGACAACGGCAGCAGATACATGGGAACACCACCCCCTGCAAGTTCCCCTCCAAGCCACTCACCATCCTGTCTTGGAAATATATCGCCGTTCCTTCAGTGTCACTGGGTCAAAATCCTGGAATTCCCTCCTTAAGGGCATTGTGGGTCAACCTACAACAGATGGACTGCAGTGGTTCAATTCGGCAGCTCACCACCACCTTCTCAAGGGGGCAACTAGGGACAGGTAATAAATGCTGGGCCCAGGCTGTGATCCCCCCCATCCCATGAAAAAATTTTAAATAACAGCTGGAATGAAGGGAGGGTGATGTGATTCTATGGTGGCTATCTGAGTGCTCTGATTGATAATGAAGTGGAGTAAGTGATATATTACATCATTAATCTAACACCAAGATCCTCTAAACGTCAACCCTCCACAGGTTCATAGAAATACCATTTGGTGTCAATATCACATTGCTGATTGTGGGATCTTGCTCTGTACAAACTGGCCCATGTGTCTCCTGCTTTATAAAAGTGACTACCCTTCAAGAGTACTTCATTGGCTGTGAAGCATTGGGATGTTGTGAGGCTGCGAAAGGTGCTACAGAAATATAATTTTTGCTTTTTAAGCAGATTTACCCAATTTCTCCTCAGTGTTGAAGTGGGGACAGTAAAAGACATACACTACCCACTGAGTACAGGAGCAGGTCAGGGTACATTAAAGGAACTGAAGGCTACCAGTCAGCACAAACACTACCCCTCTCCTCTCTACCTCCCTCTCTAACCCGCCCTCACACTCTCTTACCTCGTGGTTAACTCATCCGAGGGATGCATGATACGGCAAGTGGTGATGGTGTAGGTAGAGTGAGTGTCAGGCAGTCGGTTTGAGGATTGATATGCTGTAACTGAAGTGGGTACAGATTACCACATAGCACTGGTTAACACCCATATCCCCACAACACTGGGCTCAAATGACACACAGCAGGGGGAAGGGGGTTAAGTTGGGAGATGGAGGTCGCTCAATGATGGACTCAAGCTCTGCCAGGAGCAATGGACAGCATGGCACACAGACAGAGTGAGCAGACAAAGATTGGGCATTGGCAACAGGAAGGAGGAGGTCAGTGATGGAGTTTTCTCACAAGGTAGAAGTGGTGGTTCAGAGTCTGAGACACCGGGGTGAGACAACTGAGGGAAGGGAACGAAGGTGAAACCATGACACTTTTTGCTGTCAGATTATTCAAGCAGGGCGACAGTGCACATTCTGGCATGTCTGATAAATCTAACTGAAAGTGAGGGGTGCAGGGTATATCGGTGTGTTACAGTGAGGGGTGCGGGGTATATCGGTGTGTTACAGTGAGGGGGTGTGGGGTATATCGGTGTGTTACAGTGAGGGGGTGTGGGGTATATCGGTGTGTTACAGTGAGGGGTGCGGGGTAT